CTGTACCTGCATTATGAATTGTACGTTATTTAATTTATATACTCAACAGTTATTGAAATACTTTGATTTTTCACGCAGCACAAATCTGACCACCCAATTAGGGAGCGTATCTACACCACGTGGCTTTGAAATCTAATCCTGAGGACTTTGTAAATACCTACTGCATTTAGAAAATCTACTTTATTTATATTTATTATCAGCACATGATCCTGCACCGTTTTTACTAATGTATGCTATTTTGTACTTGTGAAACGTGGTAAATTTCGTCTTTTTACCTGGAATTTGTACAGCCAATAGGAAGTCTCACCTTGCTCGTGTGACTTTCCTCACCTACAAGCTGTCCTTCTGGACCTACGCTCAGAGATCAGTCTACATCAAGCGCTCATCGAAGCAAAATACTTTTAAGACAGCCGGAAAACAGTTTGCATAAAAGCAAACAAATCGCTGCATATAGCCATGTTGGAGCTGGACCAGTACCTCGTACCAGTATGTAAGCGATAAGCGGTAAGCAACGGAGGACGTGGGCACTGTCCCTTTACCAAAAGGTTAATCGGTATAGCACCACGTCCACCCATATCTAGAGCCTAAAGAGGAATCACAAGACGCCACGCACCGGGCTCCCAAACCCAAAGCCAAATTCAACCCGGGGGCAGTCCAACAGACCAAATGCCCACGAAAGACAGTCCCAACAACCGCCCAGGCCCCACATTTATTAAATAAAATAACAAAAGCGTGCAGGGCCAAAAAGGGCGAGTTTTGACAATAAGCAAAAATTTTACAAAGGTGTAATACACACAAATATAGAATATACATAAGCTAAAGTACAGTCTGATGTTGAGCAGCCCAATAATATACAATGAGTAAAATATAGACAGTAGAATTAGACTTAATGACAGTCTAGGAGGTACTAGCTGGATCCAATGGCATTTTCTACCGTGGATTGCCGAGACAATGGCTGGTTATACGAACCACGAAATTTCCACGGCGATGGATTGGTCGAGGTTGTCCCATAACTTATCCAACAAGATCACTGAATCTCTCGTGTTTGGACTTATTCCTGTGGGCTCCTTATTCCATATGAATAAGCCGAATCATATGAATAATCTTATTCCATATGAATAATCTGCGAATGCCCCGTTGAAACAAATATGGATCTAGTCGCCAGGATCGCCGTTGTTGCCAGCGATACTTGAGAAATGCGTGGTGTCTTCGCAAATATGCGTCAGTCCCTATCGTGCAAGTACAAAGCCTGCGATACAGCTGGTGGAAGGTCGTTTGAGTAATTTCTTTCAGCATGTACATCAATTACGTTCCTGTTAATAAAATGTTTTCTGAAGCATCTCCTCTCGTTCTTGTGTTAATGCTTTAAATGTCACAGTTAGAAACTATCCTTTGACTTCTTACCGTTTGTGTTCCGACCATACATTCTGTGACGAATATTGCTTCTGTCACCTCTCTAAAGTTTTGCCGTCTTGTCCAGATTTACCCTGTGGAACTCTTTCTGAGAGGTGAGGAAAAAAATGTGATGCAGTTATTACGCTTCAATAAATGTGTAACAAAAAATAATTGAATGGAAACACATGTTTTTTATCCATACTAGAACAAACTTTGTAAACATTTTTCTTCTTCATTACGGCGTGCCTTTGCCTTGTAATTATAAGCTCATCCGCTTAGTAATCTGAAGTTCTAGAACTCAAGTTCTTCAAGGACATCGCTGATTTTTCATGTTTCCTGCGATAATTCATGTTAACAACGCTACGAGATAATCTTTTCTAACCATCGATAGTTGAATAGTGATAAGTAAACCATGTCTCATGTTTAATTATACAATTTTAATTCATTTTTATAAGCAGAGATTAACTGGTCAATTTATCATACCCGTCCTCGTCTTAAAGTGTCATTCATATTTTCACCTACGACGTACTGTCAATCATTTAGATCTGTTAGTTATGACGAAACACTTTAGCTAAATAATATTCATAATTTCAATGCTTACTCGATTCAGCTTAAATTTCCTGTCTGCTTTTTGAGCAAAAAGTTCAAAAATATAAAATATAAAAGTTAAATCATTCCTCATTCCTTTTTTGTGCTCACAAATCATTACGTGAATATTTATTTACAGCATTTAAAGCCTCGAAAATACATACCTGCGATGCTATCGTCATGCGATGATTTGTAGCTGCATTATTTTTTACCACGGTGGCGATGTTTTTAAACTGAGAAGATTTTGAACCGACAATGTTTTAGACCTGGATGTTTTAGGACTGCGATGTTTTCTCCTTGCTTTCTTTTCTCTCGCGATATTTTGTATGGCGACGTTTTCTCCTTGCGTTGTTTTCTCCACGGAGACCCTTAATTCAGCGTCATTAATTTAAGCTTTTTTTCCTCCAGAGCTATTAACATAGCACTGTTTATTAGCTGCACTCATCTTTGCAGAGTTCTACCAAAGCGTTATTCAGTCAGTTATAGATAGCGAATTGTGCCATAAGTTGCTAATCTTGCCGTAGGAGAACTTAAATCACCTTGATTCTCAATCTGTGTATTTCGAAAGCTGTTGTCATTTCATAACAATATAAGCTTTAATTTATATTTTGAATTATAGCACTAGTTAGTAGTATAATATGCATGAAAAAGATATCTTATAAAATTCATAAAACAAAGGAATTTATTACATTTACAACTTATTCGTTACATATGTCTATATAAAGTTCAGAGTTACTATAAAGTTTAAACGTAAAAAAAAAAAAAAAAAAAAAAAAAAAAAAAATTCTGAAATGTTTCAGATTTTAAATTACGTCCAAAGGGGCGTTTTTTAACATTTTGTGTGTTACCTTTCTTTATTAAATATCATGTTCCTCGCACTTAAACCATAAGATCCAGTGCAACAGCAATATCGCAAAATAGTTTTAAAACGAGCCTATCTTTACAATTTCCGATACAGAGACTCACGCGCTGGAGATAAAAATGTTTTTTCTGCACAAAACGTTTGCCATTGCTCGCTTTTGAATCCTTGAGTTTGTTAATCAAAAATTCGTCAAAGTTTTAAAAAACAGGAAATCGATCATAAAACAAATTTCAAATTTCAAATTGGGTCTTCCACATGCTCATATTCGTTGGAGGATTACGTTATTCAAAATTCGATGACTCTATGTACCGTTGTTTTATCAGAATACGAGAAATATACATACATTTACGCAGATTTTTCATTATTTAATTTCTTCAAATATAATGCAGGACTCTAACATTTTGTGGCAACAGTTTGAAACGTGAACCGACATTTATGAGTCCGACGCAAAATGCCAAAACGAAACTAATAGTCCTTCGGGATTCAAATCCCTTTGGACTAAAAATATCGTAGTCTTAGATTTAATTGTCTTGCGTAAAATATTGCCTTGTATGTTGAACTGACTCTTTTTAACATTTTTATTTTTACCTGGTAATTACTTCACAATATGAGTATACTTCTTTGGAAAGACATGAAATATACCTCTTAAATCGTTTGTCTGTGTTTTTTTATTGGCATTGTTATTTTAAGCATTAAAAATGACTTAATACAGGGTGGGCCAAATAAAACCTACTAATGTTAAACACGGATAACTCTTGTAATAATCATTTATTTTGATTACTTTTTATACATTAAATATATTTTATGGAAATTATGTATGGAATATGACATCAGACAAATGTCGACTGTTTTTCTCGATACATAGATTGGCTCTTTTTAACACGTGTTCCATTACGACGACAACGAGTTGAGACAAATGGATCGTCTGCAACACTCTGCCGTACAATTTGTTCGATGGGCACCTCTTCCAGGACGGTCGGCCACTGAACTCAGTTCCTCAAAACGACCAACCAAACTCCTAATCATGAAGGCTGTGGGAGTTGATCTTGAATTAAAATATTGCCGATATTTACGCTGCGTCATAACAATTGATCCTTGACAAGACTAGAAAAACTCGATAATTTTAACGCGTTGTTTTGTAGTGTATGGTTCCATAATAAATTTCCAGGAATTCAATTATAACCTACAAAAAGAAAAAATTAATTATATCAAAAAATAAAAAAGTTATTTGTGTTTAACAATGGTAGGTCTTATTTGGCTCACCCTGTAGAAGATGTGTTTTCGTCTCGTGAAAGCAATAATTAGGCTTAGCCGCACTTAAACAACTTTTAAATTGTTGATAACTTTAAAAATATTGCATGCAGATTTACTGAAATCATAAAAACCTTAACCGGAAGATAAGAACAACATAATTCAATCATTTTAAAGCAAAAAATGCACAATTTACAAACATATGAGTAAAGAAACCGAGATCAATGAGCAGGGTAAACGGGTGGATATATATATAAATATTTATATACGTTTGGTGCGGCCGATTGCAACCAAAATACGAGGTGCACATCTACATGTTATAGCAGTGCTATATATAAATTTCTACGTTATGAGACTACTCGTTTTTGAATTATATGAGATACATACGTACGTACAGAGGCCACGAAATTTTATCTTCAGAATTCATTTTAAAGCAGTTTTGTAATTTTTTTGGAGTAGAAGAGTATTTTATTCTGTCCTTACGTATAGATGTCACCCAAAAGCATAATTAAATTGCATTCGATAGCGGTCAAAATGGATATTTTCGTTGAAATATGCTACCTGAACCTTTTCGCGATTACAGTACTTCCTTTTTACTTCTTACACAAGGAAGTAAACATGCCTATTGATGTATTTGTTCTTGTACAGTGTTAAAAGCTTTCACGTTATATCTGTCTTTAAAAAAAAATGGTTTTCGGCTTAGACTCGGTCTACTAAAATGTCACCAAATTACTGTTATGTCATTAGTATATCGTATTGCTAAATAATTACGTAAGTAAATCAAATGTTCTTGGCTTAATTTCGTTGTTCTGCCAAGCAATTATTTATCAAGCATTAGTTGAAATTTTCTAATATGCCTTATTGTTTGCATACTTTTGTAATTACGTTAACTCTTTCGTTTCAGTCGTCCATAGCAACCCAAGTCACTGGGTAGGTGAGATGGGCCGCGCGGTGGTTATACCCCCTGAAGAGGAGGAGCTTCGCAAGGAAAAGTTCAAACTGAACCAATTCAATTTGCTGGCCTCTGATAGGATAGCCTTGAATCGTACATTGCCGGATGTCAGAGCTGAAGGGTGAGTAATTCTCATACTTTAAGCATCAAACATCAGACCTCTCTTCTATGTGACTTTATGTTCTCTTCTAAAAGAATCTCGTTAATCAATATATAACGGAGGATACTGGTTAGGAACTCTGACTGCTGCACTGAAGGCCCACCGAAGGATTCAGGTTCGAATCCCGAATAAGACTTGGCTATTTTGTAAATGTATAGTATCTGTGCTGCTTGGAGACACTCTAATTATGCGGCGAGGCAAAAGTCTACTCGAGAGGTTAGTAGTACAGGAAAATGGGATGGGAGATGGAACTGGTCTTTAGTCAGATCGTCACCTATATGGTGCTCAAGACCCTTGCCAACGACAGGCACATTTGGCACGCTGAATGTCGTGGATTTGTGCTGACCGTTTACAGACAAGTTAGATTGGTAACAACAACAGCAACGTAGTTTTGGTAATTTTAGGAGAAAATTTTTCTGGTGAATCTCGAATTGGCCTTCACCAAGATGAAGTGCTATACAATACACTGACTACCAATAAGTATTTGGACACCTATGCAAATGACTATATCTGCGGTTCTAAGGTACGTCACGGAATCCGCCGGTATATATCGTGTAGGAAACAGCATCGACTTTAGTCGCATGCAAGATGCCTCGCAGTTCGGAGCTCTCTGATTTCGAGAAAGGTATAATTATCGGGTATCACAAATGTGGCCGATCCTTAAGGGACATATCTAGAGATCTGAAGTACCCAAAATCGACAGTGGCCTATGTGATTAAAAAGTGGAAGGTGAGCGATGATTGTCGGAATGTGCCCCGAGTCGGCAGACCAACGAAACTGGGAGATAAAGACCGGCAAGTGCTGTCCAGAGAAATTCGGAAGAACCGCACCCAACCGATGGCCCTCATCCGCGAGAAGATTCAACAGGCATCCGGGAGTATTGTTTCAATGAATACCATCTGTAAGGAAGCACATCTGCTTGGTTTTCATGGTCGTGCTGCTGCCCATAAGCCTTTGATCACAAAGTCCAATCGCGCTGCTCGGTTAATGTGGTGCAAAGCACATCGAAATTGGACCTTAGATCAATGGAAACGGCTTCTTTGGAGTGACGAATCAAGGTTCAGCCTTTACCGTTCGGATGGCAGGGTCTGGGTCTGGCATCTACCTGGAGAACGTCTCCTGCCAGAATGCATTGTGCCAACAGTCAAGTTCGGCGGAGGTGGAATTATGGTCTGGGGGTGTTTCTCCTGGTATGGGCTGGGACCCTTAGTCCCCATTCACGGTAAGCTCAACTCCGATGCCTACTGCACTATTTTGGATGGCAATGTGCTTCCTACGTTGTGGCAGTTTTACGGGTTGGACCCCTGTTACTTTCAGGACGACAATGCCAGTTGTCATGTTTCGACGTTAACCAAGGCTTGGTATGGTGCCATTGGAGTTCATCGAATGGACTGGCCTGCCCAGAGTCCAGACCTGAACCCTATCGAGAACCTCTGGGACGAGTTGCATCGCCGAATTCAGGGTGTTGCACTACCCGTGCAAAATCGGTGAAGGAACTCCTATGTCTTCTCCAAGCCGAGTGGAAGAAAATACCACTAGCTGTCACACAAAGACTTGTGGAAAGTATGCCCCGGAGGGTCCACGCTGTAATTACCTCTCATGGAGGCTCTACCAGCTATTAATTTTGAATAAATTTAGTTTTTCTTTTCTATCACAGGTGTCCAAATACTTATTGGTAGTCAGTGTATAAGGTACTTCTCCCTTCTTCTTAACATGCCTTCGTGGTGTAGTTATGTAGTTATTATGTTGTTAGTCAGCACGCTCGACGCGTATTCGAGAGGTCCGTGGTTCGATTCCCGGCGACGGCATTGCTCATTTTTCATGACTCCTGCTTTAAAGAAACCTAAGAACTCCACAACATTAAGTGTTAACAGAATTTCATTTCGGCGCATGCCGATTGAAGATCTGTCGAAAACTTTCCAGAAATTCGCTTACTCTTCAGTGCTATGAACACATATATTGAATGAAAAAAAAAATCCCACAACTCATGTGCGCTTATGATCTTCACTCTTTCGTAATGGGAAGGAGTGTCGTATTCATACCAATTATCGTAAGGAAAGAAGGCAAAATGTCTTAGCTATTGGCATTATATCAGAGATCTCAAAGCATTTTAGCCCGCGTGCCGTATTGCCTCTTTCACGAAACTTCGAGGACCAAAACCTATTTAGTTCATTGTAACATGGCGATGTAATTATGATGAATGGTATGCACATAATTTTAAACAAGTCAGCGAGATTTTTGCGCTTGGATCTACATATATCGCTGTGATAATAAAAAGAGGCAAGTTTCTAGACTTTGCAGTTTCACCTAACATAAATATCTTAAAACTGAACTTCCTTGTAGGAAGTAAAAAGGAAGTATTGTAATCGCGAAAAGTTTCAGGCAGCATACTTCAACGAAAATATCATTTTTTACTGCAATCGAATGCAATTTAACGATGTTTTTGCGTGATATCTGTACATAAGTATAGAATAAAAGACTCTTTTCCTTCAAAAAAATTATAAAACTGCTTTAAAATGAATTCTGAAGAGAATTTTTCGTGGCGTCTGTACGAACGTATGTACGTACGTGCGTACGTATCTCGCATAACTCAAAAACGAGTAGCCTCAGAACGTTGAAATTTTGTATACAGGACTGCTATAACATGTAGATGTGCACCTCTTATTTTGGTTGCAATCGGCCGCACCAAACGTATATAAAGATATTTATATAAATATCCACTCTGTTACCCGGCTCAGTGATCTCAGTTTCTTTACTCTTATATGTTTGTAAATTGTACATTTTTTGCTTTCAAAATGATTGAATTATGTTGTTCTTATCTTCCTTTTAAGGTTTTTATGCCTTTAGTAAATCTCTATGCAATATTTTTAGAATTATCAACAATTTTAAAGTTGTTTAAGTACCGCTAAGCCTAATACTTTCTTGATGGCGGCCATTGTTTGTTTACATTTGAAACAGCAAGATAGTGGATTTGTTGCCAATCTAAAGAAACTTAGCTTCGCAACAACAAAGATAACGCCTTCATTTATTATTGCCAATTAAATCATGGTTAATACTTTCTAGAATTTTTTCGAGGAAATAAGTGTTTCAGATTTACTTCGTAATTTTTAATATAGATATTTACCTAGCATTTAAACTTTCCACCCCAATTTTGAGGGAGAACACCCCGGGGGGGTGGTCCGAGGTTCTCTCCGCCCCTCTTTTTTTACCATCAACCACTTGGGAGGACTTTCTGAGATAAATGAGTTCTGGTATTAATAGTGTACACAAATCATATTGAGAAAAGACTGTCCTTGAAAAGTTCAACAACTGATGCTTCCAAAAGCAGAAATGTAAGAATAAATGTCTTTTCTAAGGCGGAAGGTGTAATAAGCAAGTCTTAATGTATATGTGTTGCATTGCTTATTTTGAATTTTATAAAATTATTTAAGGCCCATATCATACAGCGTTTGTTTCACACGAACAACTGTTTCGGACAATTTTTCTGCCTGGTATACTATTGAAAGAAAAACATGCGACTTTTTCCTTCCTCTGCAAAAAAAATTGCAAGTTGTTCATTTTCAACCAATCAGCTATCAGCTTGTTTGCAATGGGGAACCAGTTTCTTCTGTGTTAATCCCAAAGCGATCTATGATGATTGGCTGTTGTGACAAAGCAGAAAAATTGTTCCAAACAGTTGTTCTTCCAAAACAAACCGACGTGTGATAGCAGCCTAAGGAAAAAAAACCTTTGGTGGGGTTGGATTGCTAGCGGCTCCCCGGACCGTAGTTTGGAGATTCCTGCATTATACGATACTAATTTTTAAACTAACATTAAGAGGGTTTAAAATAATGTTTTCTGACTGCTTTACGTTATATTCTTTTGCAGGGTTCTGGGGAGGTCAATAAGCTGCTGAATAACTACAATAACTAGCGCGCAAGTTTCATTAATCTTTAACCGCATATCAAATAAGAGAAAATTTTAAAATTAAGTTCCAAATACCAATTCTTCTTCCCTTGATTGTTCGGAATCTTTAACGAATACCCAGGAGGGAAAGATGATTTATAACTTGCCCTAAGTGCTTGATTAAAAGTCATAAATTTTGGGTGTTTCGTTTGTGGGGTAAAGTATTGTTTGGGAAGATGTCGAATGGAATGAAATAATGGATATCCTTTATGGCTTTCAAACAGAAATAAACTTACAGCTAAACTTTAGGATATTAATTAACTTACGCTGGCAGTTAATGGGCAAGCCATAATTCATTTAAAATGAGCAATAAATATATCTGAAATAAAAATGAATACTAACTCTTCACGAGAGAAAGAGATCTAATTTTAAAGTCATGATACACGGAAAGCAAAACGTATTTAGCGGTAAAAAATTTCTATAAAAAGGTGAGGGATCTATAATGAGAAAATATTCTTGCGTCAATGTATCGAATTATTTTACTTCACCTCAATAAAAATAAAAAATAAAATTTTTGAAATCAAAACGGTAAACAATTACTCTATTGTATCAATATTGTTATAAAGAAAAGACATTTCTTTGCAACTTTCTCTTTCTTTGCATTATTGAAAGTGTTTTGTTTTCTAAAATAAACAAAGTATTTTTAAGGTATTTTTCGAATTGAATCTGTAGGGTTTCCCTAATTTTGCATAACAAATTATTTTAAGTCTGGTGTATTTCCTGAACCTCTCATTTTCTCCTTGCATTTCCTCGCCGGGATGCAGATTTAAAGTGAAGGGAGTGTTTTAAACGGATGAATCTTGTAGTTTATTCAGACTCTTGTATTCCGTCTCTTGGGATGATCGTCAAAACCGGAACGGAGCTTAGGGAAGTCTTCAACTGTCGCCTATAAGAAATTCAAATAAAAGATTTCAAAATTCAGTAAAATTCAACTTGATAACAAGATATAACAGAAATGTTCTACTGTCTTAAAAGCTTAAATATTTTTTCCTTTAAGCTTCGTTCAGACGGGGGTG